GAGAGAGAGAGAGAGAGAGAGAGAGAGAGAGAGAGAGAGAGAGAGAGAGAGTACGGCAACAAGTAAGTTTCCAAGGCCACCGCTGGCCTCGCGCAGCTTCTATCGAAAGGATGAGCAAAATCGATATTCACTGCCACCGCTGGCCTCGCGCAGCTTCTATCGAAAGGATGAGCAGAATCGATATTCGCTTCTACGCTACAATATGTGGAGAGAGAGAGACAGAGAGAGAGAGAGAGAGAGAGAGAGAGAGAGAGAGAGAGAGAGAGAGAGAGAGAGAGAGCATACTTGGATCAATCGAATCTTCCGCTACAGCATCAAAATATTGTGTGTGTGTGTGTGTGGGTGGGTGGGTGGGTGGGTGTGTGTTACATGCAGCACGTGCACACACGGGCCATTTTGCAGGCCCGACGGCCATTTTGCAGGCCCGACAGCGTTCAGGCCAAAAGCTTGAACTTCAGGCCGAAAGCCTGAATTCCAGGCTGAAAGCCTGGAATCCAGGGCTTATAGGCCCCATGTCGGTTCAGGCCAAAAGCCTGAAGTCCAGGGCCTATCCCTGGTCGTTTCAGACTAAAAATGGCAACAGCCTTTTTAGCCTGAAACAAAGGGCCATTTTCAGTCATTCATCAGAACGACCGGCCCTGAAACTCAGGCACCGAACCAGGGTTTCGGAAACAGACTATTATTAGTCTGTTTCCCACACAAGCCTCAAGCAGGCTGCTGCACGCCAGCCCCTGGCACATTTCGGCAATGGCAAGAGCTGCCTCCTCGGCCTGACTGCCCTCCAGTAGTCAGGAGGCAGGCCGAGGTAGTACATAGGACTTCCCAGGCACTTCCGAGGTAGGCAGTTGGGGTAGTTGTAGTCTTTAGGATTCGGGTGCAGCACTCTGGAGGGAGCGCTGCGTTGTAGTAGTGGTAGCGTTAGCTAGTAGTCTTCAGCGCTGGGCGCAGTAGGTAGCTGCAGTCTCCAGCGCTGGGCGCCATAGCTAGGTAGTACTAGAGRGAGAGAGAGAGAGCTTGGGCGGAGGCCAGAGGTACCTACCTGCAGCGCCGTTGCTCCAGCTTCGTCTTCGAGGTACCTGCAGCACAGCGCCAACATCACAGGTTAGTACTTGGTTCGTAACAGAGAGAGAGAAAAAGTTCTTCTTCTTCCTCTTCTCAGTCCACCATCTCTTCTCTCCCTCTCACTTTTGACTTCACTGCATCTGCAGACTATGAGAG